GGCTCATGATTTGTCCATGACTCTTCTAATGCACCGTCGTCATCAGGTATGTCTAAGGCTCAAGATGTTTCTATGGACATACCTAACAGTAACGATGTATCAGCATGACAACGATACATCAACAATGGGGCTAGTCTACGAAATCTATAAACCTAGATCTCTAGTACCAACTTCCTATTAAAATCAAGTTCTCAACTTCATATATAAGATATCTAAATGTGCGAAAAAATTCATTTAAAATATTTCACAACGAGACCATGGACTTACTTATCTAGAACTATGAAATATTAATATCATGGTTCCATGAGAGTCAAAAGAGCACAACTTCAAACTATTCGGCTGGAGTTCTATAGATGAAAGAGGGTGACGCGTACTTTGCTTATGTACTATAGGAGGATATGACTAGTTGTCACTTCTTCTTGCCCTGAGTTATATGCTATCTAAGTCATGGTATTCATTTCTTTGCTTATTATCATATAACGTTGATTTCCAATGTATTTCATCGCTCATGTTTTCTAAACCTTTTTTCGTAACGTGACTCGAGGCCCGCACATACGTCGACGTTGTTCGCGACATCTGAATTCTCAAAGCTGACTTGTTCCCTTGGCTAGAACAAGTACTGCAATCGCTGTCTTGAGATCAATGACTTCAAGGTAAGGTTTGACTATGTTTGACTATGTAGTGTGTTCAATTTAAAAGTCTAATGACTTGGATATCTTAACTATTGATAAGGTGTGGAGTTACTAACACATGAATAGGTGACAATCAAGTTTATGGATCTTTTCGAGGAAGTGTAAAAGAAGAGGTAGACAATTATTTAACAAAGCCACAATTGAGTGTTATATAAGTATCATTAATTAGGACATTTTATAAGTGTAAATTGTGTAGAGAAGATGTCCGGTTTATTGATTCACGACTATCAATCATATGTAGCAAATATGAAACTATATTTTGATTGAGTCTCAACTATATCAACGGTACTCAAACTATTAAATAATCATAGTTGGTAATAACATCATTGTTCATATTGCTATTACAGAACTGAACATGAGATTTTCACCTCATACGGCTCCTTGAAGGCCATAAATAAATCTAAGGAGTGTGTCGGGATTATTTATCTTAATATGTCATTTTTGTAGAAAAGCATAGGATAAAAATTTGTAAGAATGTATGTAAACAAGATGTTCATATTACTTCCAAAAATTATGCCAAAAATCGTCTTTGCTTCAAAAACTCTTGAGACAATTCTTGCTTTTGGCCATGCATATACGAGCATCTAACTTTTGAGGATTTAAGAACGTTGCATTAATATGCAAAGGTGGGTATCATTCAAAATATGCTTGAAAAAGCAAGAAAAAGATGCTATGTTCCATCAAGTCGTGTTCTCAATAGTAAAAAAAGATCGGATTTTTTTTTTTTTTTTCCTTTTGCCTAGTAGACAATTTATAGCAGTAGCATTCGCTCTCCAATCAAATAGAATAGTTGCAAAAAGTAGATAATGGTGGACATAGTTAGAAATATGTTATTTAGAGTTTTTTTTTTTTTTTTTTTTTTTTACCAAGCTCACGATAGTAATAAACAATTTATTGTAGCTTACACTCTAGAATAATTGCAAGAATATGACAATCATGAACCGAGTGAGAAGCTTGTTTTCAAGTCAGGGATCGAAATCCAACCACCCGCGTGACAATCACGAATACTTGCACTTTAGTACAATGATTTGCAAATTTGGACTTGACAAAAATATGAGGTCAACCCGTATGCAAAATTGAAGATTAAAAAAAATATATATATTATTTAGTAATTAAAAAGAAGATTTAAAACATTTACGCCGTTGCCTAATTTACACTATTGTCGAGGATCAAACCCAAGTCACCTAGGTGACAGGTAGGAATACTTACCAATATACTACAATGACTGGGCAGGGATCTAACCCTAGTCACTGTCATGACTGGGCGAATACTTAGAGTATACTACAAAAATTTCTTAATTTTATTTACCATGGTACTACAATGACTTATAATCTTTCGGTGTTGCGGTTCTGGTAGGAATGGAGAGTTCACGTCTCACAAGTTTTTTTTTTTTTTTNTTTTTTTTTTTTTTTTTTTTTTTGTTTACCAAGTTAGTAATCGACAATTTATTGTAGTCTGCAGTCTCCAACAAAATAGAATAGTTGCAAGAATAGGACAATCATGGACAGAGTTAAAAGTATATTTTTTGGTCAGGGATCGAAATCCAATCATCTGCATGACAATCATGAATACTTACACTTTAGTACAATGATTTGTTAATTTGGGTTTTGCCAAAAATCTTGGTGCCAACCCGATATAAGCAAAAGGATAAACGTAGCAAATATTCGAGTCACCCGCGTGAATGGCGGGTTTACTTACCACTATACCCAACGACTGGGAAGTGATCAAACCCTAGACACCGTCGTGACTGGGGGAATACTTACGAGTATACTACATAGACTTCTTAATTTTAGTTACCAATGTACTACAATGACTTATAATCTTTCGTTGTTGCGGTCCTGGTAGGAATGGAGAGTTCACATCCCACGAGTTTTATGTTTTTTTTTTTGTTTTACTAAGCTCATGGTAGTAATAGACAATTTATTGTATCCACCCTCCCAACAAAATAAAATAGTCGCAACGATAGGACAATGATTGACATAGATAGAATATGTTTTCTTGGTCATAGACAGAAATCCAATCACCCGCGTGACAATCACAAATACTTACACTTGAGTACAATGATTAACAATATTGAGCTCAACCCGATATAAGTCAAAGAATAAAAGCAACCACGTGACAATCACGAATACTTAAACTTTAGTACAATGATTAACAATCTCGAGGTCAACCCGATATAAGTCAAAGGATAAAAGCAACCACGTGATAATCACAAATACTCACACTTTAGCACAATGATTTGTTAATTTGGACTTGACAAAAATCTCCAGATCAACCCGATATAAATCAAAGGATAAAGATAAACGCAACAAATATTCTTCAATAATGAAATTGAAGATCGATAAAAAAAAAAAATTCTTAAATAACGAAAAAGCCGTTGCCAGGGATCGAACCTGGGTCACCCGGGTGACAGGCGGGAATACTTACCACTATACTACAACGACCAAGCGGGGATCAAGCCCAACTTACCCTCATGACTCGGGGGAATACTTACTACAAAGACTTCTTAATTTTACTTACCACAGTACTACACTGACTATATAGTCTTTCGGTTTTGCCGTTTCTTGCTGGAGTGGAGAGTCCACGTCTCACGAGATTGTTTTTTCTTCCAAGCTAATGGTATGAATAGACGATTTATTGTAGCCTACACTCCCCAACAAAATAGTATAGTTGCAAAAATAGGACAATCATGGACAGAGTTATTAGTATGCTATTTGGTCAGGGATGGAAATCGAATCACCCGCATGACAATCACTTATACTCACACTTTAGCACAATGATTTGTTAATTTGGACTTGACAAAAAATCTTCAGGTCAACCCGATATAAATCAAAGGATAAGGATAAGCGCAACAAATTTTCTTCAATAATCAAATTGAAGATCGATAAAAAAAGAAAATATTCTTAAATAACGAAAAAGAAGATTTAAAAAATTAAAGCCGTTGCCGGGGATCAAACTCAGGTCACCCACGTGACAGGCAAGAATGCTTACCACTATACTACAACGACCAGGCAAGGATCAAACCCAACTTACCCTCATGACTCGGGGGAATACTTACTACAAAGACTTCTTAATTTTACTTCAACGTTATCTGGGTAGTTGTAGAAAGACTGACTAAGACGACCCACTTCATTTCAGGAAAGTCCACATATCGAGTGGATCGGTGGGCTCAGTTATATATCAAGGAGATAGTACTCCTACACGGGGTACCAATGTCCATAGTATCAAACTGGGACACCAGGTTCACCTCTCAGTTTTGGAAGAGTCTTCAGAAAGCACTAGGAACTCAGTTGAGGTTCAGTACAGTGTTCCATCCTCAAACAGACGAACAGACCAAAAGGCTGAACCAGATTTTAGAGGATATGTTGCGAGCATGTTCCTTAAATTTCTCTGGGTGCTAGGACGAACATCTGCCTTTAATGGAGTTTGCCTACAATAATAGTTATCAAGCGACTATCCAGATGGCACCCTTTGAGGCACTATATGGGCGTAGGTGTCAAACACTGTTGTTTTGGGAAGAGGTAGGCACGCAGCAACTACTGGGACCAGAGTTGGTTTAGGTCACCAACGCAACGGTGCAGGAAATCAAGCAGAGGATAGTCACTGCACAGAGCCGACAGAAAAGCTATGCAGATGTGCGTAGAAGGGACCTCGAATTTGAGGTGGGTGACCACATGTTCCTGAAGGTAGCCCTTATGAGAGGGGTGTTGAGGTTCGGAAAGAAGGGGAAATTGAGCCCAAGGTTCATAGGCCCCTTCGAGATTCTAGAAAGAGTTGGGGCTGTGGCTTACAGAGTTGCTGTGCCACCGAACCTTGCCGCCATGCACAATGTGTTTCATGTATCCATGCTGCAAAAGTACACTCCAGACCCTACTCGTGTAATCGAGCATGAGATGCTTCCTCTTCGGGAAGATCTGTCTTACGAGAAGAAGCCTAGCAGAATTTTGGCTCGAGACACTAGGCGGTTGCGTAACAAAGATATTTCCTTAGTAAAGGTCTCATGGGATAACCACCGTGAGGAAGAGGCAACCTGGAAACGAGAATAGGACGTAGACGGGAGAGTTTGTAACACCAGGAAAAAAAAAAAAAAGAAAAAAAAGCCAAGTCAACTGAGGGGCAAAAATGTCATTTTGCCCCTCCAGCCATAATAGGGGTTCAAAGAAAACCCCGTCAAATCCCCTGCAAAGGAAAAAGAGAGTTACAGAGAAAACAGAGAGGAATCAGCCGCAAAATTTATTGGACCACGTTGAAATCCACCTTCAGACGAGACTTGTACAAGGATTGAGAGGCTAGCAAGGCCGACGCTTCGTCAAGATCCAAGAACGTTTCACGAGGTAAGGTTCTGAACGACATTTTTCATATTTGAGTTTTTCCTATGTGAATCGAGTCCTAAAATGCTGAAATATTCACATAGGAATAACTCTACGCACGATTTGTGAAGAAGTTTGGCCGAGACCTCAACCAGAAGGTGGAGATCCGAGAATCGTCTGAGAACGGTAAGCGAACTTCTGACGCTCTTAACTCATCTGGTAGCCAAGCAAAAAATTACAAAAAAAATACTAGGACGTAGCCCGTAACACGATCTAGAACTTTACCGAAGAAATCATATGAATCCGATATACAAATCGAAAGATATGAAAATCGTAAAGGGGACATTGTGTTTTTGATTGCAGAGGACAAAGAAGAAGAAAAAAAAAAGGTCGGCCGGCGAGCGGCGGAGGGTGGCGGGACAGGCGCCGAACACGCGTCGACTATCGACTAGAGCAACGCAGCTCCAGCGAGGCGACGACACGTGCCGTCTGCAAAGTCGAGCCGAATCACAAACGCGAGTCGAGCCGAGCCGAACCGGACCGACCAATCCGCGACTGCGCAGAAGCTGCCGCGCGTGCGGCATGCGACTGGCGCACTCCCACGCGTATGGCCCTCTCACTCCCAACGCACTGCCGGCGCGTGAGCGCACGTGGAACATCTGTTTTGTTCCGTTTGCCCTCTGTTTGCCCGATTTTTGTCCCGGTTCCAGTTTTAATATTTTTTTTACGTGAATAGGGACCTAATTTAAAGAAATCAGTATTTTTGGACACATCACGGGCAAAGAAACGCTAACAAAAAGGCACGCGTCAACTAGTTAAGTCACCACCCGTTATTTAGGAAGAAATACTTGTAGAATTCGCTTAGATTGCATGCATGCTAGTAATTTTGCTTCAGATTAGCTCTCCATGTAAAATATGAGTTAGATTTATTGTTATGATTGTATTGGGTGAATTATCTGAGTGTTGCTTGTATGCTTTAAGCTTCCGCCGTACGTATGCATGCGTTTAATTTATGTTGGAATTGTGTATTCCGCGTTCCGGGTGCTTGATGGATGAATTCGCCCCATTGAGCGTGAACTTCGTGTTCTAGGTGCTTGATGGAGGTCATCGCCCTGTTGAGCCGGCATGCCTAGTTTGCATGAATTATATATTATGATGTTAGAAGACGGTTGCATGCACACTCTGTTAATTGCTAGGGCCCATTTCTATGGTAAGCTTAGGGGATTACTGTTAGGAGCGATATGTCGCTCTAGCCACGTCAACAAGGTACCTCAAGAGTGTTCATAGATTGCTAGTGTGAGAACGATATCTATAGCTTCGTGGGAGGACCAAGGGTCCCTGATCAGTCCTTATTGCTCTTAGCCATTTCGCATGGAAATGTGTCCCCACGTCGTACAGCCCATTAGCTGCATGGAAACGGGTTGGGGTTGTGCCCCCCATAGGGCGACTATATGGGCTTGGGGGTATTCAGCACACCCCTAGGCTAGACACCATGTAGTCCCAGATAGCCATGTAGAGGTAGCACCTCATAGAGAGATACCGACCATATTAACTTGGCGTAAGGAACCTCTAGGTGTCTAATGAAAGGATGAACCGGTGAAACCTAAGGGGCAAGCTCCAAGGGACTAAGATTAGAACCAAATATCCTAGAACCGAATTAGAAAACCGTGGGAACCTGTTAAATTAGGATGCGAAGAGAGCCTACAAGTAGGTGGCTTACTAAGTATAATTTTTATACTCATCCTTGTTATGTTTTCCTTTTTAGGAGCGCGAGGCGTCGGTCAAGAGCGGGCGTGATGGAGGCGGGGATTTGTCATAGAGGAATGGGTTGTCCCGTGGCGTCAGTCCAGTCTTTATTTTGTATTTACATTCTTTCAAAATTTATTTCCAAACTGTCATGTGTTTTGTTTGTTTGTCGTTCAAAAACTTTATTGGAATTTAAAGATTTTCTCTACTTCATATTTAAATCACTTTGTGCATTTGTGTCTTGTCATTAGTCACGGTCCGTAGTAAAATATTGGGTCGTGACAAATTTGGTATTAGAGCAGTCAGGTTATAGGTCATGTAGACATTTAGGATAGAGAGTCGTGTCCTCTGTGACCTCGCTCGTCAAACACATGCCGCTCACAACCAAACGTTCTCACGCGATGGAAACATATAGACAAAGGTTAAGCTAGTATTTATAGAGTATACCATGACCGACTATGGCATTATAATCGCACATTACCTAGAAGATGTGCTACGAATGAATTGTAACCATAGTTCCTTTTTTCTATTGTGGTAGATAATGACACCAAAGAGACGCGAACCATATGTAGGGCCCGGACCCCGAAGGGGAAGAAGAGAGGAAGTTTAGGACACCTCGGTTCCAACACCTGAAGTGGAACAACTTGAATTTCAGGAGGAGGTTAAGGATACGCCCCAAACTAGCGAGGGGACAGTACCACAGCCATCAAGAACAAAAGACGCCTAAGGAAGGCCAAGGCTCGAAAGCTGCTTGATACACCCCCTACTGCTCCCTTCTTCGAGGAGGTCCCATTGGGTCCAACCCCGTGTACAGCAGTCCTGCTAAACCAGTCATTAGTCATGCCCATAGCAGAGATGTTTCAGACGTTCATGATGACCTCGATAGAAAATTAGGCTCTAACGAACCAAATGATATAAACCATGATGACTAATCAGTCAACAGGGCAAGGGGACAAAGATTCAGGGACTATGACTGTGGAGTCCCGCTACTTAAGAGATTTCCAGAGGCATAAACCGCCTTCCTTTGACGGAGGCAAGGTGGATCCCATTGCCATTGAGAATTGGCTAGAGGCCATAGAAACGGCCTTCCATTTTATGAACTGCCCGCCAAAGTATGAAGTCCATTGTGAGACGTATATGCTGAAAGGAGAGGCACACTTTTGGTGGAAGGGTGCTCAAATGACCATTATACCACAAGGAGAGTTTATTACCTGGTGTCAGTTTAAAGATGCGTATCTCCACAAATATTACTCAATCACTGCCAGAGTGAAAATGCAGACAACATTTCTCAAACTGAAACAGGAAGATAGATTAGTGGAGGAATATGACTTGAAGTTCAATAGGCTGGCAAGATTTTCTCCAGCCTATGTTAGTTCTGAGGAGTTGAAGGGCGAACGATTTATCGCTGGCCTGAGGGAGGAACTAAAGGGGAATGTGGCATCCCAGTCATCCTTCATCTATTCCAAAGCCCTTCAAGTGGCGACCCTGCTCGACGCGCCTTGCACCAACAAGCTACAATTGGGAACAACACAATCATCTCACACTGTAGCCTAGGGAAATGGGACAGACCCTAGCCACCCCAGAACTGGAAGACCGCCCCGTAGCCACACTGATAAGCGAAGAAGAGCCCCGGTACGGAACATGACCCTTTGTCCTAACTGCCGGCATCCTCACACGGGGGAATACAGAGCAGGAACAGGCGCCTGCTACAGATGCAGCCAGGTAGGGTACTTTGTAGTGGATTGCCCTCAAAGAAATGATCAGCGTGTCAACCGGCCTGTAGTACAGCATCAGATGGGCCAGGGTGCTCAACATCAGCAGGGGCGAGCTGTAGCCCATGCAACAACAGCCAGGCAAGCTGACCAGCCTGACGCAGTTGTCACAGGTACGCTACCTATATTTAGCCATCTTGCTACCTATAAGTACCCTCTCCCGAGAATTGACGACCTGTTTGATCAGCTACAGGGAGCAACAGTCTTCTCCAAAATTGACTTAAGATCGGGGTATCATCAATTGAGGGTTAGAGAAGAGGACATACCCAAGACAACCTTCAGAAGTCATTATGGACATTACGAGTTTCTCGTTATGTCCTTTGGCCTTACCAATGCACCAGCAGTTTCCATAGAGCTAATGAATAGGGTGTTTAAGGAATTCTTAGAAACTTTTGTCATAGTGTTCATTGACGACATTTTGGTAAGTCATAGGCAGATCATGAAAACATCTAAGAAAAGTCTTGACAATACTAAGAGCCTAGCAGTTGTATGCCAAGTTCTCTAAGTGCGAGTTTTGGTTGTCTGAAGTAACATTTTTGGGTCACGTGGTATCAAGCAAAGGATTACAGTGGACCCAACTAAGATAGAAGCAGTGATGAGGTGGCCAAAGCCGACCACAGTCACAGAGGTGAGGAGTTTTCTAGGGCTAGCTAGATATTACAGAAGATTTGTCCCGGATTTCTCCAAAATTTCCTTAATGCTAACTCACCTAACCAAGAAGGGCAGGCCCTTTGCTTGGACTCTAGCCTACGAATAGAGTTTCGAGGAACTCAAGAAGAGGTTGGTAACCGCACCAGTCCTTACAGTTCCAGACAGGTCAGGTAATCTCGTGGTGTACAGTGATGCATTAGGGAAAGGTTTAGGGTGTGTGCTCATGCAGAAGGGTAAGGTGATAGCGTATGCTTCTCGACAACTGAAGGAATATGAACGAAACTACCCCACGCATGACCTTGAGTTAGCAGCGGTAGTATTTGCTCTAAAAACGTGGCGGCATTACCTGTATGGGAAAAAAGTACAAGTCTTCACCGATCATAAGAGCCTCAAGTATTTATTCACGCAGAAGGAGCTCAATATGAGACAAAGGCGATGGTTGGAACTGGTAAAGAATTATGACATAGAGATCCTGTACCATCCAGGCAAAGCCAACGTGGTAGTTGATGCATTAAGCAGGAAGACTGTGCATACTTCTGCGATGATCACCACACAAGAAAGACTACAAGATGAGATGAAGAGGGCTAGGATAGACGTGGTGGTTAAAGGTGGTAATGTTCAGATGGCACAGTTAACCATACAGCCCACCCTACGAAAGAAAATTATTGACGCTCAAAGGTATGATGAACACCTCAGTAAAGTGTGGAGTCAGACTGAGACAGAAAGACCGGCAGGGTATTCTATCTCCTCAGACGAGAGTCTGCTATGGCAAAACCGCCTGTGCGTTTCTCGAGACGAGGGAATCTTAAAAGATATTATGACCGAAGCCCATGATACATCTTATACGTTCTACCCTAGAAGTACGAAGATTATCAGGATCTGAAAAGATACTATTGGTGGTCTGGAATGAATAGGGACATAGCAAATTTTGTAAGCCGTTACATGACCTGCCAGCAGATGTAGACCCCAAGGTAGCACCTAGTAGGATTGTTGCAGCCCCTGAACATTCCTCAGTGGAAATGGGAAGCAATCTGTATGGATTTTGTCTCGGGTTTGCCAAAGACAAAGCAGGGTTTCAACGTCATCTGGGTAGTTGTAGACAGACTGACTAAGACGACCCACTTCATTCCAGGAAAGTCCACATATCGAGTGGATCGGTGGGCTCAGTTATATATCAAGGAGATAGTACGCCTGCACGGGGTACCAGTGTCCATAGTATCAAACTGGGACACCAGGTTCATCTCTCAGTTTTGGAAGAGTCTTCAGAAAGCACTAGGAACTCGGTTGAGGTTCAGTACAGCGTTTCATCCTCAAACGGACGGACTGACCGAAAGGCTGAACCAGATTTTAGAGGATATGTTGCGAGCATGTTCCTTAAATTTCTCTGGGTGCTAGGATGAACATCTGCCTTTAATGGAGTTTGCCTACAATAATAGTTATCAAGCGACTATCCAAATGACACTCTTTGAGGCACTGTATGGGCGTAGGTGACGAACACCGGTGTTTTGGGAAGAGGTAGGCATGCAGCAACTACTGGAACTAGAGTTGGTTCACGTCACCAACGCAACAGTGCAGAAAATCAAGAGAGGATACTCACCGCACAGAGCCGACAGAAAAGCTATGCAGATGTACGTAGAAGGGACCTCAAATTTTAGGTAGGTGACCACGTGTTCCTGAAGGTAGCCCCTATGAGGGGGGTGTAAGAATGTAGCGTTTGTTGATACAAACACTCTGTTTTCTTGAGGGTCATAAAACAAATCATCTTTCATCTCTTTTTTGGGTATCCTACGAATAGGCATAATTTTGAACGACGTTCTAATTTCTTAGAGTTTTGCAACAACAAATGTGCTGGGCATCCCCAAATCCTGAAGTGACGTAAACTACCTTTACGCCCTCTTGATAACTCATAAGGTATTTTTGAAACACTCTTAGAAGTAACCATGTTCAAAATGTATGCAGCAGTCTCCACTGCATATCCCCAAAACAAATCAGGTAATTGAGCAAAACTCATCATAGACCAAACCATGTCTAACAAAGTTCTATTTCTACTTTTTGATACACCGTTCTGTTGAGGTATACCAGGGGTTAAGAGTTGAGACATTATTCCATGTTCTATAATATAGTCCTGGAATCTTAAGTCCATATACTCTCCACCTCGATCTGATCGAAGTGTTTTAATAGTTTTTCCTAATAGATTCTCAACCTCGGTTTATACTCTCTGAACTTTTCAAGAGCTTCTGACTTGTGATGCACTAGGTAAAGATAGCCATACCTTGAATAATCATTAATAAAACTGATGAAATATTCATACCCTCCTTGTGCTTTGACATTCATTGGACCACAGAGATCTGTATGCACAAGTACTAAGGTTTCTTTGGCTCTATATCCTTTTTCGGAAAAAGGTCGTTTAGTCCTTTTACCCTCAAGACAAGACTCATATGGAGGTAAAGAGTTGTCTTCTAACTCATTTAGAAGTCCTCTTTTAACCAATCTCCTAATCCTATTGAGATTAATGTGGCCTAGCCGTAAGTGCCAAATATAGGTATTAGGCGAAGTCTTTTGTCGTTTATTTTGAGTTTCAGCTGTTTTAAACATCTCGGTATTTAAAATAGCTTTTGTTTCGCTTGGTTTTAACATATATAAGTTGTTTTCTAGTTTTGGAGAACAAATATGAATACCTCTTTTGCAAATGAACACTTCAATGATTTCAAAAGATACTTTATACAATTGTTCTAATAAACAAGAGATAGATTTAGATTTCTTTTCATTCCAGGAACAAAAAGTACATCATCTAAGATAATGAATCTATCTCCAAAAAAAACAACTTTAAATTCCTACTGATATTGCTGAGACAACCTCTCCTGTTCCAACCCTGAGTGTTATCTCGCCTTCCGCAAGCATTCTCCAGGAGCTAGTTTCCTGAAAGGAAAAAAAAAAGAACAAATATGATTAGTGGCCCCTGAATCTAGTATCCAAGTTGAGTTATCATACTCTACTAATATATTTCTACAACTAGTATATCATATTTACCTTATTGTGCCTTTTCGGCTTTCTTCTCTACAAGGTATTTTGGGCAGTTTCTTTTCCAGTGCCAGTTTTTCTTGCAATGGAAACATTTTCCTTTATTTGCATTTTGAACCTTGCGTTTGCGGTCAGTAGGAATCTTATCTTTCCCCTTACCCTTCTTCTTTATCGAAATATTTTTAGAAGTTGAAGGACCAGACTTATTTTTGGAGGACGATCCTCGTATTAATTTCTTAAAGACAGCAACATTTACTTCTCCTGCTTGTCCTTTGTTCATTAAGAGAGACTGATAAGTCTGTAGCTCATGGAGAAGAGCAGTTAAGTTATATTCTATCTTGTTCATCATCGAATTCGTGGGGAACTGTAGGAAGCTCTTTGGAAGAGACTCCATGAAAAAACTGACTTGGCTCTTCTCATCAATGACAGCTCCATTTACTTCTACCACATTGAAATGGATCATCATGTCCCGGACATGTTCTCTAACTGAGGTTCATTCTTTCATACGACAGTTGTAAACGTATTTTATGGTGTCATGTCTAAGGGAGAAGGACGGTTGTCCAAACATCCCTTTCAGAGATTTCATAATCTCTTTAGCAGTACCCATAACATCGTGTTTCTTAGCCAAAACATTAGATATGCTGGCTAAAATGTACACTTAGGCTTTGTCATTTGTCCTTTTTCATCTGTATATGCATCCTGAATTGTTTGGTATGCATTTGAGCGGGGGTTTGGAGGACATTTCTATTGGGATTTATGTCCTAAAGCTTGTAGTTTTTTTGTAATTGAACATTTTCTCATTCATGAATTAAGTAATTTGTTATTGTGTGAAACATTATCCAATAATCATATAAGATCCAAGGTTATTTGAATTAAGTAATTTGTTAATGTGTGAAACATTATCCAATAATCATATAAGATCCAAGGTTATTATGGTAAACTTGAATAGTATGTAGTTGACATATAGGATGATCATGTTCAAGTAATAACTGAAAAGGTCTATAGTATATGGATAAGGTTGGGTGCCTTATCTTGGTAACACTATTGATACGGTCTGCTTTGTAATTGTTACAAATGATTTGATCCAATCATTCATGTGGAGACATGTGA